ACACACACACACACACACACACACACACACACACACACACAACCCCGTCTCCACTCGGCGAACAACACAACGACCACTGTACTGTTTATCAGTCAGCCTTCAGATAGACCACCCGGGTGGAGCTCAGACTCTGAAACCAACTGGACCTTTTTGGGAACTCTCAAATAATCTGGACAGAAAAACAAGAAGAAGAACTTCCCACCCCTGTTGGATTAGTTTGTGCGTCTCGGACTTTGACAGAAATCTACGAACTTGACCCGCCGCTTTGGGAATTCAATTCCTAACCCTGTAAATGTTGAGGTCGGCGGGTGACCCTCAGAAGAAAGGCAGCGAGGTGGTCACCATGTGGATCCCGACGCCCAGCATGACCGTCCCGCAGAGGCTGGTGCTGTACGGGACCTGCGCCGTGGCTCTCATCAACTCCGTGGGCCTGCTGGTGCTCCTGGTCCAGCAGGGCCAGCAGCGGGTCTGGCTGGAGCGGTCGGAGGCCAGGCTGGGGGAGGTGGAGCACAGCTCGGTGGTGGAGTTCCTCCAGGAGGTTCCAAGGGGACCGGCGGGGCTGCGGGAGAGTGCCCAGTATCAGTACTCCAGGAACAAAAGGAGCGAGGAGCTGGATAAAGACCTGCAGCATGAGCTTTACCAAGAGGAAAAAGGGAAGGGAATCCATCTGCAGGAGGCCAGCCAGGAGGTCTCAGAGGAAAAAGAGAGGACGAAACACGAGCTGAAGCACAAGCAGCGGCACCACCAGCGCTACCACAAGGCACAAGTGCAGGAAGACATGATGACCATGATGACCTACTCCATGGTCCCGGTAAGACAAAATGACAGTCCAGCATATCCAAAAAAGTAGAGCTGGGTTTCCATTTTATGGAGGCTTAAATGATCGTGGTGGACATATCCGTCTGGGTAAAAAATATTACAGGTTCAGTTGATAGTAATTTGAAAAAAGAATAATTACTGATCCACCAGAACAATAAAAAAGGAAAAGGGAAAATCCAGCCTACCTCAGTAAATATTTAATTATCTCAAATAACTGTCTTGAATTGTCGCATCCACATTGTTTAACACAGTTAAACCTGTGCATTCCTGAACTACTTTCACCTGCATTTACATTTCATAATGTCATTTCTTAGATTTTTTAAGCATATTTATGATAGAAAATGTCTTCATCTAAAGACATCTGACACATGGTCCCACTTTAGCTGCATTTATACTGCATCTATCCTTTGTTTATCAGCCATAGAAATGAGAATAATCTTTAGAGGTCTGCGTGCCTGTCATATTTCAGGAAGTAATTTCTTCATCCTTTTAATGTGGATTATTTTACTGCTGTATTTTTCTTCCACATTAACCGCGGTTTGGCATTTCCTCTTCATCTACAGATCAAATTATTGATCGACATTTGCAACAGCACCAAAGGAGTCTGCATAGCCGGTACATATTACTCCTACAAGCCCATAATGATAAAAATGATAAAATGAAAGATGAAATATAACGTTTTTTTTACTCTCTAACGTCCTCAATTTTGCTTTTACAGGACCTCCGGGGCCACCAGGTGCGTGAGAACAGAAAAATCTGAAGCCACATTTTAAATCTCACTCGACTCCTTTGATGAATGTTTTATCCATTCTGGATCAATGTTGTTTTTTGTCCATTTGAACATTTTCCGTGGTTCCTAAGGTTTGCCTGGAGCAGACGGTTCGCCCGGCCACAACGGGACTGATGGTATTCCAGGACTGAATGGATTGCCTGGGGCTGATGGAAAAAGAGGGAAAAAAGGTAAAGAAAGCGGGGGATCTAGCCAGTTCTCATACCCCATTATATTTATTAAAGCCTCAGGCAACAACCAACAGAAGATAAAAGGCATAACCTGGAGGTAGAAATAGCAAAAATCACTTAATCACTTAAAATCCCACCACATGCTATGATGGAATTTATTCAAACTGGATCTCACTTGTAACTCATGAATGAAAAAGGAGGTGGAAACAAATGCTTTTTTTTACAGTCTTGGTCTAAATTATTCATTCCTGTGGTTTGGGGCTTCATCTGAATGAATTGGAAAGCTCTCCCCATATTCTCCCACTTCTCTTCCTCTTCACTGTGGATTGCATGATTCACACTAGCAAGTCAACGGAATGAGTCACGTTCTTAACAAAGGAACAGAGTGTGTGAAATACAATACCTCATCAGTTTTTAAACAACGTTCTTCTTTGGGCCTCCAGGTGAGAGAGGGGACCAAGGAGAAAAAGGAGAGCGTGGAGAGCCTGGTCCAGCAGGGGAGGAGGCCCAAACATCGAATGATGTCATCATTGAGGGCAAGGAGAGCTTTTATAACAACAGAATAACACAGTGAATGCAGCTTTGACAAACACTCAGACATTTGCCATCTTTAGATGAGGAGGTTTAGATGCCATGTGTTGGTCTTGGACAGGTCCTCCTGGCCCTCCAGGTCCTCCAGGACCACCTGGACCCACGGGGCCTCAAGGGCCCCCTGGACCTCAGGGGCCTCCAAGAACGCGACACCACAGAGCCCACCTCCAGATCCCTCATACTCTGGGTGAGAACACCGGATATCTGGACCAGCTTAAACAGAAAGACTTGATCCTGAACAGTCCTCTGAATAGTAGATCTTGTGCAATGTTTTTTTCTTTATACTTTTAACCAATTTAATTTGAACCAATTTCAATTTGAAACATGTCTCACAGGGTTAATGGATACGATTCCAAACGATGAAACTTTGGCCGCAAAGGAAGTTGTGACACTGCAAAAGAAGCCTGCTGAGAATAATGGTCAGTTTTCAGAAGATTACATCTGCACAATAACATGTAAAGGTGTGGAGGAAAATGTTCTAATGATATTTTTTTAATTTCCTTTAGAGTGTCTCATCAAATCCCTGATCAATCCCAGAAGTGTGGCAAAGATGGAGAGCACATTTGGCACATGGATGAGAGACACCGCTCAGCTGAATGACGAGCGAATATGGGTGGCCGAACACTTTTCTGGTCAGTTACTGCGTCTTAATTCCAAATCTTATCCGTCCAGTGGATGGTTAGGACTCAAACCTTTGCTCGGTCTTCCTCAGGGCGCATCATAAAGCAGTATAAAAGCGTTGCTGCCTTCCACAACAGCAGCAGCGAGGCAGTGGACGTCAGGAGGTTCTACCAAGGCTGTGGCCACACGGTCCACAATGGCTCCTTCTATTATCATCTTGCGGGCACTTCCAGCATCGCCAGGTAAGCAAATTACCGACTTCACATCGTTCAAATGCGTTTCACCAGCGTACGCGGTAAAAACTGACCCTGCTTGCTTTTCAGATTTGACTTCAACACACGGAAGCTTCACACGCTTTTCATAGAGAACGCCCTGTACCACAACCTGGCCTACCTGCTCCCCAACTCCAAGACCTACTTCAAGCTGGGAGCGGACGAAAACGGCCTGTGGCTGATTTTCGCCTCGAGCCTGGACGAGAGCATCATGGTGGCCCGGCTGGACCAGAGGACCTTCTCGGTCACGTCCTACGTAAACACCACCTACCCCCGCACCAAGGCGGGCAACGCCTTCATCGCCTGCGGCGTGCTGTACGTGACCGACCCCAAAGACACCAGAGTCTCGTTCGCCTTCGACCTGCTGAAGGGGAAGCCGGTGAACATGACCTTTGACATTAGGTCTCCCGGCGGAGTTCTGGCAATGCTCTCTTACAGTCCGAAAGACAGACACCTGTACGTGTGGGACCAGAGCTACGTCAAGCTCTACGTGGTCCACTTCATCTCCGATGAGTGAGGACGAGACATTCAGGTGGCCCAGAATTATGATCACATTCCACCATCAGAGCCAAACCCCTGCTGACCATCACTTATTCACTCCATCCTGAAGTACTCATATATACAGGTTTCACAGACTCCCTCAGTAGACCCTCAGACAAGCCGGGCTCCTCAAAGTTTGACATATTCTTACGTTTTCGTCATAAAATGCTTTAGATATGAGTAAATTCTTCTTCATCAAGTATACAAATATGCTATTATAACCCCGTATTATAACCCATGAGGAATTGAGGAGGGCTTGGTTTGGGGACCTGCTCCTCATAACTTGACCTGGCTCCATCTTAACTGTTGGTCAGGGCATAGTATAGATAGTATACAGTAGATATCCAGCTATTCTCAAGAGATAATTTATGGACCTGTTAAAAGAAAGTCTTATGTAAAATCCAGTTTAGTCTGTGATTGCTTTTTCTTCCTCTTGGTTTTTAGGCTAGAAGTCATATTGTAAAAAAAAGTACTGCTGCATTTTTGTTTTTGTTTGAAATTGATATTTTAGACTAACTAACTGTTTGAAATCTTCATTTTCATCAGCTGAAAACTGACCTTTTTCATGGTCGATAATCTGACTGGTCTAAAATAACCAATATATCACATTTTCTTCCAGACTCCATTCGTGAATCTTAACACAATAAAATTCTCAAACAGGTTATGAGTTCAATTATTTTCTGCAGTTTTTAAACCATGAGTTTTCTGGCTGTTGTTCCATTTTGAGTTTGCAATTTTGAGTTTGTCTTATTGAATTTGTATTTTTTAAGTTTTTTTATATTGGAGTATATTTCCCCCCCATTTTCTCTGTACATACACTCTGACTTTGTAAAGCAGCGTTATTACCCTTCTTGAAAATGAAATAATAAAGAAAAAAAGACTGTGCCAAATCACCCTGATGAAATGAAAAGGATTTATTCACTTTACAGAGGTGAACCTGATTGTGGCCTGTCCTGTTCTCTCACACACTCTCAGCTTCAGATTTCCTGATGAGTCTACCCATGGTTTTGGTTCCACTGCACGCACAAACACACACGCGCACACACACACACAAAAGACAACCAGGAGCTTTGCTTGAGACACTTGAGAAACACACAGAATACATTCTGGGCAGAAAGAGGGAGAGAAACACAAATTTCTTTAATAAATACCATACGTACACTAAACAAAAGATACAACTAATCAAACTATTATGATACAAACCAAAAATAAAGAAATGCTTTCATGTTTGTACAAGCTGTCGTGATAGTTCATATATATATATATGTATATATATATGTATGTATATTTATATATATTAATATTCATATAATTTATATATTAAAACTATTTCAAACACTTTACTACTAGGCCAAATAAAGCCAGACATTCATTTGTATAACAGTTTCTTCTTTGTTAGCCTATAAGTTCCAAATAAACTTTTAGTGTCTCCAGAATTTGAGTGCAAATATCTATTCCTTATGGATGAAACAGAAAAAACAACTAGCGAGGTAACACACACTTACATATAGTAGACCGTGTTGCACATCTCCCAGTCAAATACAGTAAAACCCCTTACATTCCTAAAATAAAAGGCAATAAGTTAAATTGTTTTACAAAGAAACGATCGAGCAACCAAGCACACACAAACATATAAATAATTTAAATAATAAAATCAACTTAATTAAAAAAAACAAAACAAGAACAAACAACCATTTAGAGATTTTTCTTGTGCAAAAACCAGATGTGAACCTTTGTGTTTCTGCTCTGAGTGGGTGAGTTTAAGCTTTAGACCAGACAGATGACACATTAAAATCACAGTCACAGGAGTTAAAACACATCGATCTTCCCCGCAGGAATGTTCTAGCAGTGAGTCTGCCACACAAACAGGCATTTGAGGGCAGGTGGGCGGCGTACAGACGGCAGACACAGCAGAGTGAGCATAAGCTCATAGGGGTTGACCGGGACCGGGTCCAACCCAAACCAGGAGAGGCCACCCCGAGCCGCGGGCAGCCATTGAGACAGAGGATTGGGTATGGGGGGGGAGGTGTCACAATTAGGAGCAATGCACCATCAACTCGTCCATAAGGGCTGAGAAAAGCCGGGCAAAAAGGCATAACGGGGACGGGGGAGGGGAAGGGGAGGGGGGGGGGCAAAACCATTTAAACGAAATGCATATTCCAACAACTTGATTCACACTTGGAAACCACTGACTTAATAACAAACCACAGTGCTGGTTACAGTAGATGCTAAAAGATTTCAGCCGTGGGCACAAAATGACGACAGTTACACACCTTTAAAAGTTTTGCTTGAGCACTTTTACAGAGCACTATCAATAGACCTGTGATTGCACTGCGTAACGAGAACAGGACATGCATAGCTTCCCTATGGACACACTCTACGAGTAGAGATTCCTCAATAAAATTACAACAAATCTAGCTTTAAAATCCGGTATGATACCTTTTTCGCTCTTGACTTTGTTTTTCAGCCTTTGGGGAAAAAAAATAAAAGACGTTTGCAGCCCCGTTTGTGGTTCTGGATATGACTCCCATCGGCCGTAAAACCGCCAACACTGCACACCCCACCATATCAAAAGCATGGCGGCCTTTTGACCAACTCTTCCCCATCGACTACTACACCATTAACACCCGGAGGAGGGGGGGGGGGTTACATAAGCGTTTAGCTTTTCTCTTTGGACCCTCGGAGTTGGTCGTGGGCGTTACAGGACGTCTGCCAGGCTGCAGGGGATGGTGTAGCGGTCGGGGAGGACCCTCATCTTCAGGGTGCCGTCGGCCCCGCAGGTGAAGATCCGGTTCCCCGGACGCGTCTCCACCTGCATGACGCCGGCCCCGATGTTGCGGAAAATGGACTGCTTGGCGTGCTCGGTGCTGAACGAGTGCATGAGCCCGTGGCCGGCCAGTTTCCAGACCTGGGGAAAGAGGAGGGCAGAAGTGAGAGGGAGCATGAGCAAGAAGATAAGAGCGGAGCTGCTTATTGAGGTGTGAAAGGGTAATAAAATGAGGTATTTAATTCAGATACTTATGACTCCATCTAATTTTTCTGCACCGACTTTGATTAAAGAAGAAAAAACAGGCAACGTTTTTTTTTTGGGGGCGTATGGTGTGATAGTATTATTTTGGCTTGCCACTGCGTTACCAGGCAACCAGCTGAGTCATTTTCAAAAAAGATAAAATGGGAAATAATGAGTCTAGCTAAACAAATCTGACAATTTTAAAAAATGATTTTTAAACATGATGTTCTGAAACAACACATTTATATAAATTGACAATAAAAGGTGATCATTACTTCTTAATTGAACCTATATTCAGAAAGGGGCAATTGATGTCCTAAAACGTGGTCATGCTCATTTAAAGGCTCATTTTTATAGTTTTTGGTCACTTTGCTTTGGTTAAAAACGCACCGCTCTCTTTGGGGGAGCAGAGGTTATGCAAACGATTGAAATGGCTTTCTTTCAGAATGGTCAGCAAAAAGTTAAGTCTGTAAGAGAGAATGAGCTCCTTTGATGTGAGCCCAACTTCTTCAAGGTTGTAAAGGGATTCTCTCAGAATGTGATATAGCCCCCAGGGCACTGATCACCTTATCAAACTGGGATTGGATAAAGAAGCAACGCAGTCATGCTAAGTTTGTGGGAGTTTGATAGAGTATCTATGCTCTGCCTCACCAGAACATCCAGGCACGGCCCGGGTGGCGTTTGAAGTGTAAAAGGTCACACTTTTATATGGGCAAAACTTGCTGAATATTGGGGACTAGATAATGTTCTACTCTCTGTATGTCGCTAAAACCAAAAGTCAGGTTGGGCTGGTCTGGGTCTTTAATGTTAGATCCAATTCTTATCTAACATGTCTTTCGTTCTCTTTTCATAAACTACGTGCTATTTGTGTAAATATCTCTGGAGCTATGCCACCACGGGAACATGTTTATGATCCAGCAGCTCATACTTGTCGTCATTATCCTGACAAACCCAGTCTACCTGCTCTTTTCAGACTGAAAAATGCCGTTGCTTGCGTTATGTCCTTCCACCAGTGTCCCATCTGTTCACAAAGTGGATGTGGGGAGCTAGCTGCTACCTTTGGTTCTATTAGACACGTTGCACCCACAGCAGCCATCACGGAGCATTTTGTTCTGTTCCTTCTGACACACTGCGAATCGAAGCTGACTATATTTCACTGTCAAACTTGTTGTTGAGCAGAACAGCTCGCGTAACCAGATTTTAACAAAGGGAACAATGATGTCTGTGTTAGCGCAGTGGCACAAAAAGGACAGTTGGTGCGGGATGACAGCGTGTGTAATGAGGGGGGTTTCCTGAATACTAATCATAAAAACTAAAGTCTTAGTACAGAATGGATTGTAAAACAGAGATCTGTATGTTTGCCCGTGTCAGTGAGTCAACCAAAGAGAATAAGTCACCTTCATGTTGCCCTCAGCTGAACCGGTGACAAAGAAGTCCTCGAAGGCATCCAGTGCGAGGGCCTTAATGGCTGAGTCATGGGCCTGGAAAGTGTGAAGCAGCTGCCTCTGTCGGATGTCAAACACACACACGAAGCCCTTCCTGCCTCCAGTGATCAGCAGCTGCTGTTTGGGAGCGTACTGAAGCACAGTGGCCCCGTTCTCATGGCAGGGGAAGGCTGGAAGGGGTTGGACGGGTAAAAAAGGAGCCGGTTGATTCCCGAGAACATCTTTAAAAAACGGCTGGCTTTAGCGTTTCAGGATTCTTACCGTGAACCATGGTGTTCCCGGGAGAAATCAGAGTATCCCACAGGCAGACGTTTCTGTGGATATCATCAACAAAAACATAAGTCAAGCCCTACAAGCAGAAAAAGAGTTATTCCGGTTCAAAATGAGGCTCTCAGTGCTGAGGCTGACCTGTTGTCGTTGGACTGTCCGGCTGTGGCGATCAGGCTGGAGGACGTGATGAAGGCAAAGTCCCCGCACGTCTTTGAGTGGCACTGCCAACTCTGCCAGCCAGAAAGGACAGGAGAAAACATTTAAATAAAAATTTTGAATGCTTTTTCCCAGCTGAAATGCGAGAGAAGGGAGTGAGGCGGTCAGAAGTGACCTCACCAAGTACGGTTTGGGGTTGGAGGACGTCTGGTTGACCTGCCAGAGGCTGAGGAAGCCCTCTCCATCAGCAACGCCACACTAGAAGAAGAGAAGTCAGAAAACAATGCTGCCTTATAGACAAAACACAGACATGACTGTGCATGTGTGTTTAAGTGTTTGTGTGTGTGTTTAAGTGTGTGTGTGTGTGTGTGTGTGTGTGTGTGTGTGCGCGCGTGTACCTTATTGCCTTGGGAGTTGAAATAGAGTCGGGTGACCCTCGCATTGCCAGCTTGTCTGAAGCAAATGAGCTGCTGAGGTCTGTTCCATTCAAACATTCTTACACTGCCATCCTGGGCCCCCGTCATGTCTGAAGGATGCGCCACCACACACACAAACACACACACACACACACACAGCAAAGAAAAAGGAGGAAAAATGACGTCAGAGGAGCGTAAGATAAGAAAAAAAAAATGGAGGAGGGTGTTATGTAATATAGAAGTTAAATGTAGCCACTTACAATACTGATAAATGGGATGTGATGTCATTCTCTTCACATTGTTCAGATTCCTCTTCATAATCTGAAAAACATTTAAAAAAACAAATGAAGCTCATGCAGTATAAGAGCAGAACTTCTGTTTCCTTAACACTAGCTCTTATTGTTCATTGTTGGATTAATGAGAATCTTCATTATGTGGCTTTTCATACATTTTTAAAGCATCCCTTGTAGAAATGTCAACCCTTTTAATTTGGCGCATCTTGTTGGTGTGGCGGTTAGCACCGTCTCTTCACAGCAAGAGGGGTCCCGGGTTGAATCCCCAGGGGGAAAAAGGGCCATTCTGAGTGGAGTTTGAATGTTCTCCAGCTCCAAAAACAAGCATGTTAGGTTTTCTCTAAATATGTGATTGACTGGCTGGTTTGCATGCAAAAATACTAAAAATTTTGGCTGAATGGATATATATCAACTGAAAGCTTTATCTTTTTAAGAATAAAAAGGAATTGTTTCTAAATATCATTACTTTTTCATTTTCTTCCAATATATGTCATTTTCTTACTTAAGACTTGATGTTTTCCTCATGAAGAAGTCAGTGCTGCTTTAAAATATATGCAACACTATTACATAGAGAAAGCCATCAATCTCTGGTAAGATGACTATCTTTACCTCCTTCTGAGGAGCTGCAGATATTTTTCGTTTTGCTCTTTGGTGAAAGTTCTCTGCTTCGATTCATGAACAAGACAAGCAGAAAAAGGAAAACGGGGCTTCTAAAGGGAAACATTATACATTGCTGGTTTTCTATTACTCACAGCACACCGGTGTACAAGGATTCAGAGCCCATTAAACAAGAAAAACGAACCCTCCTGCAAGCTAAACAAACCGCATGTGCAAGCAGCCGTAACACCCCCGTCTTCCTCAGCGTAACACGCCGCGCATTTATCAGCGTGGCTGGGACACGCAGAACTCCGGCTGGGAGTTGGCGTGACGCAAATCTGTACCTTGGGTAGTCGGCTGGGAGAGCTGCTGCTATCTGTGTTTATGTGCGTCCATCTCTGCCATGCAAACATGCCCTCTCTCTGTATCAACCCCTACAGACTCAGCAGGAAAGCTGTTTAGTCGGCACAGCTCTGTTTGGCTTGGCGACGATTAGAAATGAGAAACATAAACTTTGTCTGAAAATGTGTAGAGGGCGGACAGCAAAGGGGCCCCATTTCTTCTGAATCAAATCATTTTACATTTGATATTCACATATCTAAAACGTTATTAAATCATTACTAGATTCTAAAAGACTGCAGAGTCACTCCACTGTTAATATTTCATCTGTGGGACAGAGCTTGGCTTCCCCCTATGGGTCATTACAGGGAACTACATAACTATGACTGTTCTGTTTTGTTGTGCGTGTAGTGTAACCCTGTGTGCTTTTGAAGAGAATCAGCCCTTACCACACTGGCCCCCATGCTGGTCTGACCACTACCGAGCCAGGGCATGGACGCAGACACCGACATCTGCTGTTGTGCAAACGAGACGCTGCTAGCCTGGGCGATGTTGGTGTGAGAGGAGCGGTGGTCTGCATCATCAGAGCTGTAAAACAAACCAGCCCGTGTTTAGACTTGTGTCCTAGTTGTGCTGTCATGACGGAGTGAACACAGGCTATGATCGGGGTGAATCCCACCTGCGGGATTCCTTATCGAAGTCGTCTCCTATCCAGGTGTAGGGCTGGACCGCCACCAGAGTGGAGACATCCACCTCCTGCACATCATGGGTTGAAGCCAACACGATCTCATTGGAGTTAGCCTGTGAAAGGGAGGAGATATGGCAAAGAAAATTTTGGATTTGCGCATTCATGCAGCGTTAAGTTTGAAGTTACTTGAAAGGAAGGGGTTGGAGAGAGAGGAAGGGGGATTCAGCAAACTGACCTTATTGATGGCGAATGCCATTATTATATCGGACTCCTTGTGAATAATTTTAGCCTTTCCTCCTGGGTAGCCCAGATCTGCCTCCACCTGGAAAAGCAAAAAAGAGAAACAGCTGAAAGCTGAGGAGAGACTTAAAAGTTAAAGTCAGAGGACCTGTGGCCACCGAAAAGGTATTTGTTTTGTTTTTTTAATAATGTTAGTAGAAACATAATTGTTATTGAACTCCCTCTGTAATTTGTAGGGTAGAATGAAAACGGTGCCCCCTCCATTTGTTTAAAACATGACTAACACCTCAGAAAAAGGTAGAAACACCTGCAGCCACATTCAACAGGAGGACAGGAGGATTCGGCACGTGTAGGCGCATAAAGCTGCTGTAATTATTGACAGTTTTGACTTTTAATTTGGGTTTTTCTGTGACAACAAACGGCACAGTTAGCAAGCCTTACACAGCCTTGACAGTGAGCATGCAAGTTAGTAGGTCTACTGTATGTGCCAACCCTCTTAAACACTTGCTTTTGGGTCCAGCAGAATCAGTCCAGCTAGACGGGAAAAAGGAGTGTGGTACATAGGGAGATGTGTTATTTCTAGGGATCAGATGTGAGGTTACGTGAGTGGAGGACAGGTGTCTCAGTGACAGGAAGAGGTTAAACGTCAGATCAGAGCCTCAGAGCCTGGAGGACATTTTTTTTATGCTGGAAAAAACAGCCAGAGCAGTCACTGTGAGGCCAAGCTGGAAATAACACCCAGCACTCCACAGTTCCACAATATGGTACTACCTCCGAACTTTAAACAGCAAATCCCAAAACCTGACTCAGCTGATAGACACTGCCGCTTTATTTATGTCAAATGCATTTGTTCCTTCAAGCTTGGCTTTGCAGTGACTCTCTGAGACAGACAGACAGAGCCGGGGCCTGGGCTGTACAGGAAATTATACTACCTTAAAGGGACTGCTAGCTCCGGCTATGCAGTTTGGGTTTATACGGTCCACATGGTTCTCTAAAGACTACACAACACACAGAGGCAATATAGACACAGACCACAACAAGACGGCACAACACAAAAAACATGCACAAACACAGAAAATTAAACCATGAAATGAAAAGAAAATGAAGAGGACTGCCAGTATCTTTAAAACTTAGTGAGACTAAATGAGAACAGCTCTAAATGCACTGCACTGTCATCATTAGCACGCAGCCAAGAGAACCGAATCTGGCTGTTATTTCAACTCAATTCAATTAAAAAATACTTTATTCATCCCAGAGGGAAATTAAAAGATGGTGTAATAAATGTTCAATAATATAAAGCCAAAAGGATGTAGATGGTCCCAATAGAAAAAAGTCTGCTACAGTAATAAGAAGGAGAGCATCTGGGATAATATGTCTGGAATTTTCTCTGCATTTCCACCTGCAGCTAAGGAGGCGATTGCATAATCATGAATAATTCCAGACATCACAGAAGCCAGTGATCTGCACTGGGCTTGATTTGAAATGTTGGACGAGTCAAAGCAAAGATAATTACTCTAACAGAAACGGAGAACACGCAGATAAATGCTCACAGGCCACATCTCTGTGTGTTACAGCGGCAGGAGAAATCTGCCGTATCTAAAACAGGACTTTTAAAAAATTAATCATAAAATTAATTTAATTCATTTTTATGTTGCTTTTTTTTCACTCTACAAAAGCTGAGAAAAAAAAACACAGTCACTTTAAATAAATTGTAAACTGTAATGGTCAACCAAAACCAAAAGAAAAAACAAAAAAAACATGAAATATACGAATGTTCTAAACTCATCATAAAAAACTCAAACAGGGGAAACCATGCATATGATCTCCTGTATGAATGGAGCCTGCTAACCTCACTCTGCTTCCTTTTCTTGGTAAAGATATAACGGATGAAAGTTTCTTGAAGAACTTCTTGTTTGACCAGGAAATGCCAAAGACGTCGGACTGGAAAGGACTGATGATTTTTTGTCCTGCAAGAGAAAGAGCAGACAGGAGAAAGTCATATACTCACAGAAAGCCTCCTTTTGATTTGAATATAGGGTAAGATCAACACAAAACAAATGAGTGACATTTGTGCTTTTATAAGTAAAAGAATGTCAATAATAAATGTATAAAATTACATTTGTGTTATAATTCAAACGCTGTAATGAAAAGTAATGAACGGTAACTCATAAGTAGCTCTTTAAAAATAAGTTTATCTTTAATATAAATGTATCTTTAAAGCTCAATTTAAGTCCAGATTGTTATAAAGTTAGTGTTGTCTCCATGTTTCTTTTTTGTTTTTGAATCCACTTTAATCAGTGGCATGAATATGTCTGTAGTCACCACACAATCACAATGTAATCCACTGTACATTTGTTGAACAGGTTAAAGCTTCAATGTGTCAATGTTATCAGCTTTGACCTTTTACGACTGGTCAACCCAATCTACAAGTGAACGACTATGCGAAAATAGTCATTACGTTGGTTATTAGTGCGATTCTTATAGAAAAAGTAAAGCTGTTATAAGCTTCAATTCAAAGTGTGTGTCTCTTTCAGCCTGCTGTGATTGCTCTGACACTCACTTGAAGGGTGTGTTGTCTGGCTCCAGCATGGCCTTGTGTCGCAGGATGGCGGGGCCAGCTCCTGCGCTGAGGTCAGTGGGGTAAGTGTTAATGTAATTGGGAGGCGGGCCGTCAAACTTGTTAATTCGCTCCAGGAGAAGCTGTTCCCAGTTCTCTAAGGCCTTCAGCACAGCATTGCTGAGCGGGGAGGTGACCGGCAGGTCTGTGGTGGGAACACAAACAAATCACCCGTATATATCTTTACAAAATCATGCTGAAATGGTTTTAAGATACATAAAAAAATCTAATCATTTACGAAGAGCTGCTTAAATCAGTGAGGAGCTGAGCGCGTACCTGTGAAGTCAAGGCCAGTAAGAGGGATGAAGTTTTTCACATTTTGATGAGCCAGTTTCACCATGACCAGGCGGATCAAAGCCCAGCTGTGAGCCCGGAAAACAGAGCACAAGGTTAAAATCTGAGCAGCAGCCTTCAGAGCTTAACGACATGAATGGAAGCGGACTGATCCAACCTGTAGGAGTTTGGATCGGAGTGCTCCGTTATCTGCGTGTCTGAGAGGAAGGCGTCGTCGTCATCGTCGTCGTCCTCTGCTCCGCTTTCATCTGAGTCATACAAGGCGTTGCTGTCTGAGAGCGGCAGGAAGGGCTGAAAGGGAGGAAATAATGAAGGTTGAGGAAGAAAGCAAACGAAGGAGGAGCAGCAGATGGATGATTTGACAGAACCTGGAGCCTGTGAGTCATGGAAGTCATTTTTCACTTTGTTCTCAGTCTTACTTTAGCAACAAAGTAGTCCCACATGCTCAGCTCTGGAGGAATGAACTTCTCCCTGTAGGCTGGTCTCTCTGCCGGAACAGGAGGCGGGGTGGCAGGTGTCTCCTTCACAGGGCGCCCCGGCACCAGCATCCTCATGTTGAACCTACGTCTGTATCTGTCCACGTCCTCTGCGGGTTGCTGAGGGGGGGCTGCTGGGGGGCACCAGAGGAAGAAGCAGACAGAGGGTTTCACACATAGCTTGGTGACTGTACGAAGAGTGAAGATGAGCAGAGGCTCAATCCGTTTTTTTTTTTCCATCCCAAAAGCCAAAAGACGAAACAAAATGCAGCAGGAGGAAATCAGCATCTACACAAACAAATTAACTGTACACATCAAACCTGATCCTGCGAAAGGGGCACAAACACCTCTTCAATTTGTGACGACACACAAATGAACACAAGTACGATTGGGAGTGAGATACAAACGCACAAATACGAGCACTCAAGATGGAAACACAGGGCAAGACACACACTGCACAGCTGTGCACAAACCTGCACCATTGTCCTGGATGTCTATCTCTTTTATTGCACCAGACAAAACAAGACACAAAACAGAGTAGACAGTGCAGTTAGACACACAGACACCACACAGTCCATTACGCAACTGAAACAGTAAATATCGCGCACAAAATACACACAGAAAACACACTGAACAGAGATGGCGAATGTGCTGGGTGGTCGTGTTTTGAGCTTTGTTTTTTCTCTGGACGCAGAACTTAAAGGAGAGACACACAACATTTAACTATGAGGCGTTTATTTATACTAAAATCAGTCTGGATGTGATTGTGGCGTGGTTGCATCACCGTGCATCGCCCCTGCAGAGCTGCGTGTATAAGACATGCGCACAAGAAAAGCAGCAGCCCTCCAAAAGGGCAGAGATTCCTATCAACACTCTGACATTTACGTCTGGAAAAGGATTCCTCGAAATGTTCCTGGCCTTTCTGGGAGCTACTTAAAACTCTGCAGGGATGTAGAGTCTCAATGTTCCTATCTTCCCTTTTCGCAAATAAAACTGCTGAAATTGGGCTTCATGATTGTGGATGACCTGCATCACGTTCCCGCCTTTAAAGGTAAAACAGGGTGCACACTGTGAGATTCTTAGCCGTCACAAATGGTGAGCGTTGTTACACAACTGCGGTGAGTTTCTGGCTAAAAAAACCAATGGTTCAAGGTTTAGCAGTAAAAGTTACGTTGTGCCTGAGCAGTGCAGACGGAGGCTGTTCTCGCTAAATGTGGCTCGTGGAATTCAAACAGAGAAGGTAATCAGGTGGAGCTGTGGCTGCACAGGCATTTAGTCTGTATGTGGTGTAAGGAGAAAAACTCTGGGATTACAACTTCTTAAAAGCAAACAAGGGAGGACATGAGCAAATACTGTTGTACCAAGTGTCCTGTGTCAGTTAATTCAACTTTTTTTGAGGGGTAAGTAATACTTCAATCCTGTTTTGAACCTGCAACATTAAAGCATGTGTGATGATCACACTGACCATGACTTTGTAGCCATTTTAAGTCTACTTAATGTCTATGGCGACTAAAATCTCACAGCGTGCAACCATCTTTAGAGTTTGAATGGTGGAGTTACTTGGGGTACGACTAAAACTCGACCTCAACTACAACGTTTTGATGTACAAAAACTGGAACACGATTTAAATATGTAGCTCTACAAACTACACTGAACACAGCCTGAGCTCTAAAAGAATGACTGGCGTTAAAACCTCTGAGAGTGTACCTGGTTTAGTCTCAGATTCAGTTTTAGCCTGAGAGGGCTGCTCGGCCTCGGCCTCTGAACACTCCTTGTGAGGCCCAGCTGTTGCTTCGGTGACATAACAAGATGAGCACAGAGGACGTTACAACATGAACATGCAGTGCAGTATACACACGCACGCACTCTCCTGCACACACACACACACACACAAACGGTTGCCAGTTTATCATAACACTGAGCACGAATGTCTTCATTGCACGGGTGGGTTTTGTTGTCTGTGATGGGCATTCAGCGGCAGCTTCACGAGAGAGCCAGAGGAGTCAGACAAGCATCTCCGACAAAGCAAACCTGTACAATTACCATGCACCGCAATCCCGCAAACCAGCACTGCAATCCACCAGCCTGTTTACTCACAGCTGGCCTTAGCTGCAGGGGCCACAGGGCCCAGCCCGTCTCCCCTTGAAACAGGAGGAGGGGGTCGTTTGGGGCGCTGGGTTTCAGTGGGCATGGGAGTGGGGTTTGGGGTGAGGTTGCTCTGCTCTGGTCTTCCTGTCTCCTGAGACTCCTCAGGCCTCGCTGCCTCAAAATCAGCTGGCGCTGGGAGACAGGGCAGAGGGCACACTCACACGAGACACTGCAGACCTGTCGCAGCGGCATGTGTGAAACAACAGGGACTAGCAGACATGTTCTGTGTCTCCACAGACCCAGCGGATGGAGCTACGGACTTGGATCCATGTGATCACAGGAGCTTCGGGATGTGAAAAAGCTTACAGATGGATATGAGGAAGACATCCACAGGAGCAGAGTAAAGTGAGAAAAGCTGATAGTAGAGCTGCTGAAAGAGGGTTTTCGTTGGATGAGTTGGGGAAAAAAAGTTGGTAAAAATTTTACCTGCTGGAAGCTCAGGTCTCTTTGGCCTAATGATGACTTTTGCTCCTCCTCCAAAGACAGCAGCCCACATGCGGTTATTAAGCGGATGCGCTGCCAGGCGGAAGAGTTCATTGCTGTTGTGAGTGCCCAGACCGTGGATGAGCAGCGAAAGGTAAACGGCCACCACGGCTTCGCACAGCAGCACGTTGAGCCGCGGCTGGTCCTCCTCCCTTGCGGACGTCAAGAGAGAAATCAGGGACGACACACCTGCGCAGAGAGGGACACAGTGTTTGCACCTGCAATTTACAAAGAAATAACGTCCACGGCTAAATAAAAACACCATCTCGGCAGGAGAGGCAAAGAAAACGCTTTTATGGAACATTTGCATGATGGCGTGATCAGTCTTTCTCTTTTCATTTCCTTCCCAGAGGCCATGCAGCGCCTTTTATAGAACACCATCTGCCTCTCTGCATAAACACAGATTGCCTGCTTTGCTTTTCGCTTCCTATCCATCTCCTATTCACACTCTGTCTCAGTCATGCATTTGATCCCCAGTTATGTGCCATCTCTTCTTCCACTGCACCCAATAAGAATTCAGGAAAATTATCAATTAAAGTCCAGTCCTAAAAAATGTCAATGAATTAAACAAAATTTAAATTTCCCTTGTTTTGTTTTTTAATTTAGAGCCAATCTCAATCCAACCACAGCTGGTTTGGTATTAACTTATTTACCTGGCCACTGTGCAGGGGCAGAGTTGGGAGTTACATGTTCTTCGATGCTTTCTGTGCGCAGTCGTTTCCTTTCGCTAAGCAACAGGCCCTGGTACACCATGCCTGTAAACTGGTTGGCCTCCGTTTGACTGCTGCAAAGCCAGCAACAGAAGAAGAAGAAACCAGTGGGTGCAACCATGCATGTTGCAGGGTGTCAGAAAGGACAGAAATCATGCAGAGACTGCTGGAGCTTGGGGGGGGGGCGGTGACTCGGTTACCTGTAGCTGTGGCTGTCACACAGGGCTTGATAGATGCAAGCGGACAGGGATGCAGCCAGTGTGTGCAGTGAATTCACCTGAAGACATACATAATTTATTAACAAGCTTCATAATGAATAATCATAATACTAAAAAAGGCTAAGGACATTATAGTTAGGATCTGTGTCTATAAAGTGTTCTTCTTTGATAGAAAGAGGATAGCAAAGCATTTTCAAGAATGTCTCAACTAAAAGATAGCACATAAGCAATTCATACAGTGTTTAAAACATCAATCTTCTAAGAAACTAAGAGAGATTAGAGCGTTCATCTGCCTTTGAATTTATTACTTCTAATTTAGTAAAAGGTGAAGACAGGGAGAAACAGAGAACTCAGATCTTTTTTTAGTACTGCCTATATACTTCCATCCCCTCCCTCGTCTCATACATAATTAAAAAAATGTGCTATGCAGACAGTCTGACTTAGGTTAAGTGATATTCTTATTCGAGTTCTGACCCCGTCTTCGATGATTTCAGGATGCGGCGCAGTCTCCATCAGCGTGATGGTGTGGAGGATGTCGTGAATGTGGTTGCTGAGGTGGAGGACGGGATTGGCTATGACCGTCTTGGTGGGGGCGATGCAGGCTGACAGCAGAGGCAGAGTTGTGGGCAGAGGAAGAGGAGACTGCAGCTGCTTCACTGTGGTTTCCTGCGCAGTAATAAAGAAAACAGTCTAACTTTGCTCTTACCTGGAATAGGAAAAAACTTGTTTAAAATGTCCATGCGTACCTGCTGGCTTTCCTGCAGAAGGAACAGAAGCTCCATGCGAACAGAGGTAACCCCCCCTCCTTTGGCTCCGTGCAGGCTGCAGTAGGACAGGAAGACCCTGAGTAGGGCCTGGTTCTTCCTCAGCCAGGCCTTGCGTCTCTCTGAGTGTTGCTGCTTGGCTTGAAGGCGGCGGCGTTCCATCTGGTGGCGCTCGTATGCGCCCGCTTCCATACAGTCCAGAGCATCCTCCGATATGTCCACCGAGGCTGTGCGGTCTCCCCGGCGTTCCACCTCTGAGCCTTCCTCCTTCCCTTCCACCTGTGCGTTGTCGACATCAGCAGGAAATAGTCACGAGCTGCCCCGTTGCTAAACATACCCACCGAGTCAGAAACTAAACTCTGAGAGTGGACCTTGTAATTGCAGATCTTGTGCATCGCGGCTATCTCCTTCTCCAGCCAATTGTAAAGCTGAAAGCGGAGCTTCCCTCCGTCCACCTCAAAGCCCGTGGCCAGCGTGCGCAGCTCCGTCATCAGGATCTTCAGGCAGGCGCGGAACTTCAGCTGCTCTGCTATCACGTCCACCTCTGACTCCCCCTGCAGCGTACCAAAGGGGCTTAAGGGAAGGCCGGCCCTTTGTGCTGACTCTAGAGACACTTGCTGCCGCCTCTCACAATGTAATTTAAGTTAAGATTTCATCAAAAGATGCACACATTCTTCTTATTCAAATATAGAAGCTTTAAACACATAAATAAATGACAGAATAAAAACTCCCAAAATAGATAAAAGGTCAAACTAAATAACTGTATAACTATTTTTAAAAGTTTAACTACAAAATGAATCTGCCTGCTATTCCTAAAAAGCATCTGTCTCATATCTATCATGGCTGAATTAAACATTTTGGTTTGGAAAATGAATAACGTTTTTCATAAAGATTACAATATGTAGAAATTAAATGCAATCTCTGTGTGAGCTTTTTTCCTACATTTTTACTTCAATAGAACTGAAAAGCAAACAGGGACTTTGTGTCAGACTCTCACACTAACTCCTTAATGCAGTGTAGCTGGAGAAACCTACCCAGCAGTCACAGAATAGAGCCTTCCATCTTTATCATTGGAAACATTTAGAAAAAAACGCGTGCTAAATGTTAGGTACATGTTAAATGCGTTTGTGCTACCTGTGGCTCCTCTCTTGGTAGTTTGCCGTCATCGTTCTTTAAGTCTTCGTCTGCTTTGGTCTCACTCTCTGGCTTCTTCATGGTAATTCCATCATCCTCATCTTCATCATCCTCGTCCTTGTCCTCTCCCCAGTCAAGCTTGAGGTCGTCTTCCTCCACCTTGACCAAAGGCTGGCCCCAGTCCAGGTCGGCAGCGCTGTCGTTTCCTCCCCAGGCCGTGGCCGGAGCTGCCGGGGAGCCCCAGTCCACGCCTCCCCGCGTTCCATTTTCCAAGGGCTGACTGGCGTTTACATTTGCCTTGGACGGAGCGTTGCTGACAGGTAAGGAGTTCGATTTCCTGCTAACCTTGGGAATCTTAGAGAGGACTTCCAAAGCCAAAACTGGGCAGCCCACCTGAGGGAATATGACACATGACAACATGGCTGTGTGACCGACCCACAAACCCAGCCGGTTAGAGACATAAAACCAATCAGCCCACCTTGAAATGTGCATTGGCGGTGGTGAAGAACAGTTTGCGCTCTATGAGGTTGATCTCGTCCGCGCTGCTCTTCTCAGCAGTGAGGCCCACGGTTGTGGCTGTGCCCTCTGGAGTAGCAAAGTGCCGACGAATGATCAAAGGATGTGTCCTCAAGTAGTTATAGAAACTAAACACTACGGGGTTGCAGGATTTCACCATTGCGTCTAACAAAGGGAGATAAAAATAGCAGAGAATAACATTCAGAATGACATAATGAAAACAATTAGTGAAGCAAGTGAACGGTGAGTTCCTTTACTTTTAAAGTAAAGTAAGTAACCTTTAGTCTTTAGTTACTGTTTTACATTTTTTAAAACTTTTTTTTAAAAGCATTTTTTTTAAAGGTAAGTTTCTTTTACTTTTTAGTTCATGCTTTACTGACCGGGATTCTCATCGTCGTCTTTCGGGATACGCTCCAACAGCGTGTCAAGGGCTCGCGTGTAATCTTTCATGATCCAATAGGCTATACTGCGGAGGAACGGGTCAGGGTGCAGCCTGGAGCAGTGGTAGCCACTCCCGTCCCGGTTACGGCCCAGGACCTTCTCATAAAGAAGGCCTTGGCAGGTGGATGAGTTCTCAAAGTCGGCCTCGTACAGCCTCGCAACTATCATGGCGAGCTGCAGGTCCTCCATCTTTTCCAACAACACCTGCAGATCAGGAAAGGGGGTTAGCACTACAGTTTAAGCAAGAAACTTAAGTAAGCCTAAAAGGTCAGAAATTCAAGGAAGTTTGAGCGAGTGTTTTATCAGTGTAGCCAATACAAGCAGCTGAAGCAGAGAGCTAATGCTTTTTTGGACTATCTGTATATTTTGACTGCATGGTTGGAAATCCCAGGCCAAGGAAAATCATGCAAGATTGTTACGCATTCTATCAGTATGATTTAGGCTTCTCTCTAATTATTCAAAGTCTGCAGAGTAGTTGGCTGTTCTCAGGAGCAGGTATCTGCACCCCCACTGATATGGAGATTTAACTGTCAGACAGAGACTCTTTCATCATTAACACCGAAACAGCTCTGGAAAAGAAATGAATGTGGTGTGGAAATCAATGTGTAGGGTGTTGATGAGTGTGTGCCGTTCACACCTCGATGGCATCTTTAAGCGAACCAGCTAATAAAAAAAATGCAGCAGACTGTTCAAAGCGCTGCTTTCCCAGCAAGGAGAAGGCGTTCTTTAAGGCTGCTTTTCGCCAGCGATCCTCAGTGAAGTTGTTCTTGAAGAACTGAGTCATTTTCTCATCGTGCTGGGACCTGAGAGGGAAAAGGCAGACAGCTCTGTAAGTCTTACTGGATTAGAAAAACATCTTCAATAACGTTGAACAGTGTTGACATTCCGAAGATGTTTAGAAGCAATGTAGAAGTGACTGTACCTAAAGAGCCCCCACAGGACAGCTTTCTTCTTCATAGCCAAGTAGAATAGTGCAGCATCTAAAGGATCACTGTGTCTCTGGAATGCAGCTTTGCCCAGCTAATAACGAAAGAAGACGCACAACAGTAACCAAAACAGAAAGCTTTCGCTAACAAAATACCTTTTACATAAAACAGAATGCTCTCAATATCATATTGCCAAAAAAACTAATCATATAATTCCCCTTTTTGATTCAGGTAAATTATTTGTTGCCCTTATCACTGATTTGAACTAATTATCAACTACCAGAAAAAATTAGCTTCCAAAGGAGCATCATTACGACATATAATAGAACATACAGTGAGGAAATGAAGCTTAAAATAACTACATTTTTAGCTATCTGAACCCGGTCAAAATATTTTGGTTTCAAAGTTCTTTTGCAGAAGATTCAAAAGAAATCAAAAGAAAAAAAAAGTAGTACATATTTAATATCTGCCCTTCATTCTCTTGATACCTTCTCCACCATTTTCCTCAGCGTGTTGATGTTACGTATCCACCAGCCCACTCCCACAGCTCTGAGCTCAGACCACTGTGGGTCGCCTCTCTGCATGGCGGGTATCATGTTCAGCAGCTCCTCTTCTGCCTCCGAGTGGAAGGCCCATGCAAAGTGGCACGTGGAAAGGCCTTCAAAGACACCATGTGCAAGATGTCCCAAGGTTTACGTCAGCCAGAAGTCATATGTCATATTTCCTCTAATGATGTAAAATTCCAACTTGTCACAGTGGAAGTATAAGGAATAGCATTATATTTACCCTGGTGGAGCAGCTGCATCCGGTAAAGAGGCGGGAGAGAAGTGAGGAGGCAGGTATGAAGACGCATGGCGAGCAGGTACCTCAGGCCACACTCATCAAGAGCCTCGCCACCTTAAAAAAAAATACCAGAGCCGTCAGGTTTCTCACTTTCAAAAGACCATTTCAAAATACCTACGAAAAAAGAAAGAAGGCCCTGTATGACCAGAAAGAAAAGCCCACTCTGGTGTCATTTCAGTTCATACAATCCTGTCAAAGAATATGTATCTCTCGTCCCTGAACCTTTTTACCCCTCTCTATGCTTACGTGGCCCTGGAACAACATGCTTATGTCCTCCTCTCAAAAGACTAAATAAATAGGATGGAAATTGGAAGAGAAAAGAAAATGATAATGACATTGTGCAAAGGAACAGTGCACTTTTGTTTATGTTAATAAAAGACTTGATGGCTTGACATTAACTAGATGCAGGAACACACAATCACAAAACAAGGAGAAAAAATGCTTGGCTTTTATGTTTATAACCTTTAGACAACTTAAATGCAAAATGTTTGCTCACAAGGAGTAACAGTTAATGGCAGGTTTAGAAAAGATAATAAACTGAAGGATGAATGAAGGCCAATATGCAGGTACATACGATTTTATTGGTTTTAAATGAACCAACTAAGTCTTGAAGAAATATGTGCATGCTTTTTTTCTTTAGCCTCAACATTTTCTTACTTCTAAGTCACTGACAAGAAAACATTTTTGTCGTTGAAGATACTGATTATTCTAGGGGAATAACTAGATATAAGACTCCATTTTCAGCTGGCATCTTTGGTGGGTATTTAAAACATGTTTAGAAACTGACAAAAACTGACATTTGTTGGTATGACACAGCAGTGGATGACATAATAACCTGTGTACTGTTGATCAGTGGAGCTCGTGACCTCAGCACTGGTAGTTGCCACAGTATCAGCCAAAGCCACCAGGAACATCTGCTCTAACCTGGTAAGTCCTGGAAGGCTGGAGTGCATGAGGTGGCTGGATAAAACCTGCACGCAGGCAAGAGGAGGGCAAGTAGAGCATCGTGTTACAAATTCCTTTGAACACAAACTCCACGCTCAATTAAAACCAAAAAATTGCCACAAGCTTTAATGTCCCTGTTCATTTTTAAAAAATGATTTATCTGGTAGGTTCAGAATTGTATGATATGATGAAAAAATTACGCACAATACCTGAGCATGCTCTGGCCCAAAATAAGTGGGTCCATACTGGGAGAGGTTGATAACTCGAGATTTCTTCTCTGGTTTGTCGGCAGCAAAGTTCACAAAGTCGTCCGTGGTGACTGCTGCCACCTGGTACGACGGGGGGGAAACAGGTACATGGATAAATCAGACTGAGGTGGATTTTGAAGAACAGTTTTTAATTTCCTTTAACTATTCCTACCTGGAATAGGTCAGCATACTGATCCTCTCCTGACTTCTGAGCCACATCACCGTCGGCCACCTTTGAACCCTTGGCAGTCTCCTCTGCTCCTTTGTATGAGGTGTCCAGGTCAGCCAACATGAGAGAGTAGAGTGGCAAAGGGGGGATGGAGTTGATCTCTGTGTAGTCCCTCCCTCCGTCCCGGCCGGCCACTATGGTGTCTTTTGCTGTGCTGCCAGTCACGCTGATTGTCCTGGAGAGATGCCTCCTGGCTCCACCTTCCCCTGCCTCCACATCCCTCACCACAGCAACTTCTCCCGCAATACACTTTACCAAGTGTGCAAGGATGGCCTACACACACACACACACACACACGCAGCATCCACGATTTATATGAGGACGCCAGAATAAAACGAGCCAGGCTGCCAAAAATCCTAACTAATGTTTTTGGTACACACACAGGTATCCATATTTGATCAATGAAGTATTATAAAATATGAAATAATCTTCAGCACTCGTACCTTGGCACGGCGAACCTTGCCCAGGTCCATGAGTTCCAGCAGCTGGGTGGGATGGTACTGCGGCAGGGTTGGGGACAGGGAGTGAGCGGCCTCGAACAGCCCCCCTTCCTGCAGTCCGGCTGGGGCGCGCAGGGCCTCGTCCACCCCGGCGCTCCCTTCAAACACGCTCTTTGACCTCATCCTCCCCTCGAAGGCAGAGGAGGAACCTGCGGTTTGACCCCCAGCGATGTCCGCTGACGACAGGTTGCCCTCCTCTCCCTCACCGAGCTTCTTGTCCTGGTGCCACTGGGCATAGACGTGCATCTCACAGTCCATGCCCACCACCAGGATGCCGTCCCTCACCCAGGATAAGGACACGGGCAGCGAGGGGGTTCCGTCCACGGACGACACCAGGTCCACGGAGCGGAGCAGGATCCAGCGGGAGCGGATCCCCTGTTTGATGCTGCCCCCTAGGGGAAGCGTGATGACAGCCACGCCCTCCTTGCTGCTGGTCTGCTCGTTGACCATGCCGGATATGCGGCCGTACATGAGGATGTTGGAGCCGACGCCAACGGTGAGGATGTGCGATCCGTCCTCTTTTGACAGCCAGTCCAAGTGCACAAAGTGCTTAATGTTGGGCGAACTGTGGTCCCTGCTCATGTACAGATCAGACCTGAGAGGGAGAAAAAGCATCAGGTCAGTGGAGAGTTAGCGAGAAAGGCCAAACAGATAAGCAGTAGCATTCTTACCTGCTGTAGACAAAGAGATTGGAATCCACACTGACTCTTGGATCCAAGGTTGATGATGGTCTCACAAAGTCATCAAGGTGGACAGTTTGCTCTAAAACCCACTCTGAGCCACCGGTTGACTCACACTCATAGATGGACACGTGCATAGAGAAATCTTCAAAAGAGCCCTGCAGCTGAGGACAAAATACGCACTTTTTAGTAATCTTTCACAAAAGATTTCACAAAGAAACTTGATGATGATGCTATAAAAAATGTTGAGAACTACACTAAAACTATCAAAATACAGGCTGCATAAAGAAACATGGACTCATGAGAATGACTGATAAGAAGTTTAAGCCAGACTGTGAATCATAAATATTAAGTCAACTTCAGTTCACATTTTCTATAGAAAAAGTACTACATAGCTTATAAATGTTCCCCTGTGAATAATAAGCAAGGAGTAATTGCTTATTTATATCCGTCACCTCAGTTTCCAGCTCGATCTTAATGTGCATTCAAATTCTGCCAAATGACACATCAATCATCTTTCAGGAGACGCAGCCAAATTATTCCTATTTGATGAATTTCAATTTTTCAGCCTGATTGGTCAAATAAACTTGCGATAAGGTTCAAATTCTAATTTCCTACCAGTCCCTGCCGCGGCTGTTTGAAGGCCACGGCCAGCCTGCCAATGTAGGAGCAGGACACAGCTACAGGGCGCCCCGACACGCACACGGCACTGTTGTTGTCCTCCTCCTCGTTCATGAGGGCCCAGGGCTCCCAGCGGTACGTGCGGTTGTCCTGGTCTTCTCCGTTAAAGGCGTCCTCCCCCTCCACGCCACAGCGCCAGAATCGTACACGGGAGTCCGAGCAGGTGGTAACAATCAGGTACGGGGCCAGGCACACGGGATAGATGGAGGAGGAACTCAGGTGACCTGGCGGAAAGGAGAGACAAACGGACATGACGGCATTTAAAGACGTCCTGTGTATTCTGTAGTAAATCATACTTTAAAATGAAGCATTTTCAAACCCACACAGTCACTCGAAATACACATATATGTAGTCCAACCTGCAGAGGGCGTCGCTCTGGTGACCTCAACCCCATGGGGAAGGTCTAGCCGCTTGCTGTACACCAGCCTGGAGCTGAGGATGAGTTTGCTGGCCGACTGCAGGTTGGCTGTAGAAGCTGACCGCGGCAGGGGTCTGATAGGAGACGTCTCAGGGGATGAATCAGCATTCATAACTTGATTGGGAACCATTAGCTGGCTTTGGAAGCCAAAGTCTGCAACCGGCTCATCTGGAGACAAAGTTCAAATAGACAGATGTCATATGGATTAATGCTTAAAATTTCTAGGCAGGTTCCAGTATTATACCCCCCCCGCTCCATCTTTTGCAGGTCACCAGACTCACCGACACAGGCCTGCACAGATTGGAGGTGCAGGTGCCACATCTGCAGGACAGAGTTTCTGTTGAGGTCCTTTTCTATCACCACCAGGAAGAACTTCTCAGAGAAAGGGGCGGGTTGGTAATCTGGGTTGAGTGAACATAGTTTTCGTTTTGTGTCAATCAGGTTTGAAGAAGATAGAGATAAAGAAAAACAGATGCACACAGTTCTTAATCTAATAGTGTGCTGTACCTTCTCCAGCTGAAAAAGCCGGCGTGAAAGCTTCTTGTTCGTTCTGAGGTTTGTAACCGAGAATGAAATCCTCTTGGAAGACATGCAGGAGCTGAGTGTTTGAGCCACACTGGGTCCACAGGAAGACAGCATAAACAAAATGAATGCAACTTTTGATCTGCCACATGAAAAGAAGAAAAGACACAGAAGAGCTACTAACCTGATTTGTGATGACATCCAGCTCTATTATACAGCCAGGTCTGGCAGTAGACTGCTGGCTGACGATGTTGAACACTTCACCCACCAGTTTCTAGATGATGAGAGAGAAAAAACATCAAATGGCCAATATATATATATATATATATACACACACATAGATATATTTTTTTAAGTATTGTAAGAAATTGTGAATATTGAAAGAAAAATCTTTTTCTAATCTTTGCATTCACATTTTAAATGAATTTGCCTGTGTACTGTTAGTTTGTTTCTGAAAGCACAGTAAAGAAATGCAGAAACAAAAATGATAAAAGCATTAAAGACGTGGAAGAGCTTAATATCTGTGGATTATTTGGTTACAGTGATTCTGTGACATTTGGTGGCCGATTTACTCCAGCCAGTCTGAAAACTGCCTCTAAACCTGCTTTAAACTCAACTCCTGGCCCTTTGTGATAAAAAGCTATAAAAACTCAGACACATTTAATTCAATGAAGAGATAGTCCGGAGAGAAGCCGTTATATCCTAGCGAGTAATAACACGTTCTGACGAGCAGTTGTGCTTGTGCGTTCACTCACGGACGTTTCAGGATCCGACAGCTCGTCCAGTAGTTTTCGAGCATCCACAACAGCCTGATAGAGACGCAGGTTTTTACCATCTGATGCCACGAAGCAGGCGCTGGCACTGTTACAGTAAGTCCCTGATAAACACAAAGCTCATGTGAAACATCGAGGTTTCAACCAATGTCTATAGGCATTTTGGTTCAAATGACAGATTCACAGGACCGTGGCTAAGCTGGTGAGGATGCTAATGATGACACTCAGCCAATTTGAGAGAAATACTGAAATGAGGGAACTCTGTTATCAGAGTTTACGGATGAGGACTGTTGAGCCACTGAAAAGAAAGTTGCGCTGTATTCTTAGTGCACCAGAATTGCTGGGACCTAAAACTTGCAGTGATAAAACTGGCTGATTTGACCAAAAAACAGGATAATCTGCATTAACAAACTTACTTATAAACGGCTATGGGTCTCCCTGCAGCATTTCAAAGGCAGGAATTAACTAATATATCTAAAAGGAGACTGGAATAAAAAAATTCCTGACATCCTCTGACTATATAAATCACATTTAACTGACAAAAAGAGCAGAGCATCAGTGCATACCGCAAACACATAATCACTGATAAATGTTTTGGAAATAGTGTAGATTAAGTATGTTCATACATATTAAGGTATGCCAAAAAAAAATGTAACTTGATAAATTCTGAATTTCCTCAAGCAATAAAATAAATGTATACTTTGATTTGAGGTTATGAACAAATGTTTTTTATAATATACAATCTAAAAAATTCAAATATAAAATATGTTGCCATACAATCTATGTATCGTTTTCTGTTTTTTTTTGTGTAAAACTTTTGTTGAAAATCTTGTTTTCCCCATTATGGACTTTAAAATAACAGTGTTGGAACAACTGGATCTGTACCTACCGAGCACTGAGCTGGGTACAAGTGTAGGCAGCCAAGCAACGTTGCTAAAGGCAGAAGTGTGCAGAGAGTTGATACGGGCCAGTTCTGAGACTCCTCCAGTGCAGGACAGGGGTCCGATGTGGTCAACCCTCCATAGAATCAGCTCACTGTAAATGGCGTTTGGGTCATGGAAGGTCCTTGTGGCTGCATTACGAAGCTGCTTCCTGTTAAAAGAAAAAGTGGCACATAAGGTTAAAATTGTGTTTTAACTAGAGAGCATGGAGTAAATCAGTAAAAAAGCCAAAAACAATGCATCACAAGAGGCAACACACACAAATCAACCACTAATTTTGAGCGTCCACTTCTGTCTGATACCTGAAAAGTCCCTTTGGTGTGGGAAAGGATGGAAGCTGCTCCCCTTCCAGGCTTCCTGGGGCCGATGGAGGAGTGAGCAGGGCGTTGTGGTGAGAGGAGGTCAGCAGCAGTGGCAGCACAGTGTGACAGGCCTGGTCATTCAGGTGGAAACGGTGGCCACAGTACCGGACCTTGTGCGACACGGTCAGTACATTGGAGAAGGCAGAGCGCTCTGCAAAAGTCACAGCCCACTGTAAAAAGAAGAATCGATATATTTGATGAGGATAAACAGACTGGACAAAGAAAATATATATAACCACTCACATGTTTCTGAGGGTTGGGCGAAACTATTTAAAAGTCACTTAAAAGAAAAAAAGAGGCTTGCAGGCCCTGACAGAAACAAAATCGTTATTCTAAACCTTTCACCTGGTTGAGAGATCCGTCGACATGTTTGGAGACCATCATGACAGCAGGACTAATGCCTGGGCGAAGTTTGGGTAAGGGGGACACAGAGGAGGAGCCCAGGCCGGCGGAGAGCGACGCGGAGCGGGAGAGGCGCTGGACCATTCGTCCCTGCTCACCAGTACCAGCATTCTCCCCCTCCATCAAAGTGCAGGCGTACATCAGGATGTTTTTACTCAGTGAGTTGGCATCCCCCGTAGGAAAAGCTACTGGAATACGGGAGGAGAAGGATACCTGGAATAGTCAGGGGGGGGGAAAGTTAAATAGGCACATATTCTCTACGGAAACAAATTCATAATTAATCAGTAATTACAAAGTGACTTTGTCCACAAAAAGTGTGTTTAATACATAATGATTACAATGATTAAGGACACTCTGGGAAGCTATTGGTTTACATTTAAAAATGTATTGGTGGTCATTTTAAAATGTGAGCATCATAGAGATTTCTGTTTGTCTTTTCTTTTTTTTTTGTCCAGCAGGAGGAGAGGAAAAAGGAGGTCCTGAGTGTAATTTTTTCTTGTTATTTTACTCTTTTGACAAAACTGTAAGGACTGTGCAGGATTAGTGATCTGGCATTTACCAACAAGCCCATACTTTCTACATTTCATATTGTTTGACACTGTCATTGAGTTGTTTCCCCATTTACATTCACATTCCTTCTTGGTTAGACTAACCAATCTTTTAGCATTAGTTACCTTAACATCTCAGTTTTCCAGCTTTCTACAAAGATCATGCAGTTTATGTCCAACTCAAAAGGTAAAAGGTGTTATTTTACAAATTTCCATGAGAACAGGTTGATATTTTATGATGTGTGTTCACTTCATGATAGTTAGTTAGTGGTAAGTTAGTGGATGGTCAGTCAAGCAGTAAATATTACCAGAAATCGATAAGCCTTTAAAAAACAGTGATGAATAAATCCCAAAAGGATTTTTTTAAAGTTCACAACTGCCACTATATCTAGTACTTCATATAAAGAAGAGGAGTAGGCTCTACTCATCCACAGAACTGAGTGTTTTTCTTTAATTTTCTTCACTTCTGCTCACCTGAACCTGTCTGAAGATGCCCTGGTTGAATTCATCCAAGTACTTTACGTGCCAAACCAGGAAAGATCCATCGGTGGGATGGATAGTAAACAGCATGTCGGGGCTTTTGTTCCACTCCGTTGTTAGTGTCTCCATCTTTCTCTCAAGCAGCATGGAGGGCAAAGGCATGCTGGAGCTGGATCCGGGGGAGGACGCTTTGTTGCTTCCCTGCTCTCCTGAGTCGGCTTCTTCTCCGTGCTCAGAGGATGCTTTGTCAGACATCTCGTCCAGTTCTAGGACGCAGAAAAACAACATGCTCTTACCCCACGATGCTGCTTTTGATTTCTTTGGGGGACCGTATGTTGTGGATCATACCAAAATCAAACTTCAGAGGAGATCCTTCAGGGTCCAGCGGGTCCTCAGCAGTGTGGTCTAGCTGCTGTTCAGACAACTTACGGAGCTGTAGCATAAAAAGGTCCATAGAAGAAGTGAAGCTAAGATCCTTATTGTTGAGCCAATGAACCATAAAGCCGCCACCACCGGAGCCGTCTTCTGGATTGAAAACCGCAGAATCAGCTAACGCTGATGGGATGTCTGCCAGAGGAAGGACAAAATCAGACTTACGGGAAAGAAGTGGTAAAATATGCAATCGATTTGAAACGAATGTCAATAAAACGGCGCACCTGTGTTCGGATTAATACTGGCTGAGATATGGAAGTGACAGAGGGCGTTGGCATGATGAGCAATGTGGCGGTGAGTGTGTGAGTCCTGTGTGCCGAGCTGAGAAGGTAGCAGCTCGCTGTGTGCCACCAGAGCAGAGGACCGCCGTCGGCCCCGGCGCAGCTGTTTCAGGTGGTGGATTGACTAAACGAGCAAAAGCCAGAAATAAAGCCATGCGAATATTTCTCATATGGATATAAATAATATCATCTCTTCATGTTCTGCTTTCCCTGTAAAAATCTGTATTTTATTTACCTCTAACGCATGCTGGATCTTGTCCTTATTTCCTCCCAGGCCCGGCAAGCTGGAGCTGAAGGTGTGTGTGTTCTCAGTAATCTGCCCACCCAGGAGACTATCTTCCGGTAACAGGGTTTCGGACCACAACCGACACACACCATCCTCGCAAGAGGTCAGCAAAACGTTGCACACTGTACCCCTATAAAACACAATCATTATTTTTGTCTGACTTTCAAAACATTTTGGCCTTCCATCTTTAAGCTGCTCCTCATGAATAGGTCAATTAAAATGAAATCAAATTGCATTGTACTGTACAGGGTACAGTATGGATAATTCAAATGTCCATTTTTTCTAACTCGACACAGCAAAAAGCAAATGTGCCCACAGGGAGAATCCGGAAGGAGGCTTTTTCTTTTATTTCTATCAGTGAAACTTAAAACATTACATGATACTCTAGAAAACAGTGACTGGTCATCCATTCTTACTTGGGCATGTATTTGCTGGTCCTCCTCCAGGACATACCAGTGACCGAACGGGGATGAGCCAGGTAAACAAAGGAGAAGTGAACGGGTGGAGGCTTTTTATCCAGGAGGTCCTGTACCACCACGGCGGAGCGCCAGCCGGTGGTGGGATACCACACTTTGAGTAAACAGTCATCCTGTGCATAGGCGCAAACACGCATATATTTCAGAAACCATTGAATGTGAACCTCCAAATAGTTTCAACGTAACTCTTATACCTTCCCAACTGTTGCAAAGTACTCTCCATCGGGAGACCACTTGGCAATATGAACGGAGGCAGCAGTCCTGAGAGAAACCCAAAGAAAAAAAAAAATATCAGCTGTATGTTACACATACTTCCAACACTAACTTATTGGTAATATCTCTGCCCCCGGTCCCTTTTCTGAAACCTAACCGTTGTAAACCTGACCATAAAATGGTGTTTTGGAAAGGAGGGGTTCTTGTTTTTAGGCCATTTGAAGTAAATAAAATCAAAGTGTGCATACAGACACAAAAAACATACAAATGTCTGTCTCTTTCGAGCATGGCAGCTAAATGGAAGAGCTATATCTGATCATTTTTTAACTTGCGCTTCTCTATTCTAGTGGCGACCCGTGTGTCATCGAGTGACAATTACTGTGACGGTGTCATATGACTGGCTCTATTTACACAGCTTTAAGTGCAGGCCGCTGCCTAAAGAGAGGCTTACAACTGGGCCAACAAGCCTCGTACACCAGCAGCATCTGGATAATCAGTAACTGCTATTTTATACGCAAAACTTCTAGCTGCAAAGAGTTTCAGTTAAAGATTCAGTAAATCTTTTGTCTGTGAGCGACAGACGCTCCGTTATGTGGCAAAAGATTTTTGCCTTCGTTTGGCCTGTACTTCTGACCTGATGCATCAATCCTCAGCTGATATAATGATAAGTCTTTTCTACAGCCTGTACAGAGGATTAAAAAAAACGCACTTGCACTGCCAGACGCAGTTCCAGTCGTTGAGGACGGGGTGCGGCTTGTCCTCAGTCATCTGTCCGTCCTCCTCCTCTATCAGGGCATCTGTCAGTGGCGGAGCCCACAGCTGGAGCCGTTCGGTCGCTGCTAGGATACGGTTCCCTGAGGGCCACAGAAGCACTTTATCACACACTCCATGTCCCCCCATGACTTCTACAGCATACGGTGACGCTCACAGCTGGTCCACACAGACCAAAAATGAGAAAGGGGGTGGGAGCTGTGTGCCGTGAGGGTTCAGTTTTTTTAGATGTGGTTAAACACGGTGAGCAGGTCTACCTTGTGGGTCCCACGCCAGGTTGTAGGTGATGGCATCGAGGAAGAACTGTCCTGTCTTTTGCCACTGATAGTTAAGCTGCTGTTAGTGGTAGGAGAGCGACACACACCATGCGATGTTAATTGCACACAAATGTGGTTAAACTCACTAAATACTGACTAGAAACGAAAAAAAATGCTGAAAATCACACCCACCTTGTGCCGTTTGTTTGGGTTGGCGGAAAGAGGTTCGAAGATGCAGACCGTGTTTCCGTAGGACGCAGCAATCTGGAAATAAAGAGATGCCTTCATCATCGTATTGTCACGCAGCCCATCAGGGCTTCTGCACGGCATTCCCACAGGAGAGCTCAGATGGGGAGTGGAGTAAGAAGGCCAAGATGAGCGTGAACAGTTGAAAAAACGACTGGGACTCTGACTAAATGCTTGCTCTTGCACAGTCATTACTGCGTCCGTATCTGAGCGTGCAGACCACACTTACCCTGCCGAGCTGGTGTGAGCACTCCACGCAGCCCACCTGTATGTTCCCATTCTGAGCCCCCGGGATAATCTGGACACAGTCAAAGTCACTAGCCAAGATCACCAAATCACAACCTGAGCCATAGGCCTGAAAAAGAGCGGAAGAAAAACAGGAGAAAGACCAGAGTTAAACAACCAAAAAGCAACCCCAAAATCTTTTAAAGCTTACATTTGAAAACCACAATCCATTCATGAATACACTTAAAATTCTTCAAAGCTGTCTGGTATGCATGTTGCTGCTTTGAATGTCCACATCAATGCATTTGAAAGGGGTATGAAATGTAAATAAAAGCCCTGACAAAGCGCTTCAAGTCCTACTGGCAACACAGACGAGGGCTCTCTGGAGGTGTCTCTCGTCCACTTGTCATTGTGACTCATGTCCAGCAGAGCAATGCGCTGAGGGGCTGGCAGATGTTGAACATAAGTGTCATAGTACGTAAATGAATTAAATAAAACTAGTCCCATATGGGGCCGCAGCCATATACCGCTTTCACACGAGACCGTGGAACACAAACTGGCCGTGATCAGCATCCTCATATGTTTTGCAGTTATCCTGACTGAGAAAGGCCCATATATACCACAAACAACAGCTGGCTTGAGTATTATGTGTTTTGTTTTTTTTATCTTTAGGTCATAGCAACTTAAAGATGGTCACTAAAGCTGGCTCCTAAAAGAACCTGAGGGATGTGGGTGCAAAAGAACACATCAAACTCGGTGTCTCCTCAAGAGAGCATGATTTTGAAACAATAGTTCAAAATAATGATAGTAAAATAAATAATAATGAGTATTATTATTATTATCAATAATAATAAAACACAGGATCAATGTTCTGCAACATAATCTCAAATTACCAACATGTTCTAGAATCCAAAAATGTTCAAAAAGGGAAAAAACAAAACCAAACAAAGATATTGTATTCAAGTCAACAGCTTTCCGGGGCTCGACAGGGTCTGCTATAGGATTTGGAGCACAGGGTTGAAGGTAAAACGATCCATGCTTGTTCCTGGTAGCTGGCATTTAGAAGGAAACTGGCGGCAGCACCTGGGAGGCGGGCCGACCGGCCTCCTCCTTCATCGGTACAGTCAGGAGGACGGCCCGTGTCTTTCATTATTCAGGAGAACAGGAGTCGAGGCTGAGGCCCAGCGGCTCACACTACGGGCCGACACGGGCGCGGCGCGTGCTTTACTATCACTGCGGCACTTGCTCCAGCACATTACGGCCCAAATTAAATTCGGTCACCGTCACGCACTGTCTGGAAGCAGCCCCGCACCTCTCTCTCTCTCTCTCTCTCTTTCTCATTTCCACAAACACACACAGACGTGTGAGCTCACTCCACTTTCTGCTATCGGCTAGTTCATTCTGGACCTGTCGGGATCTTAGGTTTGCAAGCTTCAACCCTCACTTCCATTTCTGTGGATTTTTTTTGTTTATCCTCTGTATTTCTGTTAGTCCTCCCTGGGAGACACACAAAGACGATTAGGACAGAGAGGAGGGAGCACAGTGGATGTTTTATTGGTACTGACAGAAGCATTATTATGGCATCACTCTAAAGAAGCTGAAGTACAACGAATCCTCATTCGCACAGACAAAAAACGCACAACGTGGTTGACTCTTGTTCTCTTTTGTGGCCACTTCAGTTATTTGTCTAGTGTGCGCTGGAAAGATGCAATTTAAATCGGTTTAGAAAATTGCAGTGTCGCTGCTCACCTGTCAAAGTGCAGCTACCGAGGAGGGATGAGCTGCTGGTGCAAGCCCTGAGTGAGTGGGGGCTCACTGTGTACGGGTCAGTGAGTATCCCCAACAGGCCACTCATAAGAACCCGAATGCTCATTAGGAAATGACTAGTGATAAGAATATTTGTCATTGGAAGGCTACGATGGGCACTGAAACAGCAACAAATAATGCTAAAAGGTTGGCCCAGCCCTCCTAAGTAAACAACAGACATTCTCAGTCAATGTACAAATCTGTTGTTTTTATCATGTTTGTGTTCTGCTGATTTTAAGAGGAATATTGATACTCAGTGAACCCTGCCAAGGAGACGGCACCCACAATATCTGTGATATCTAAATCTACCCTCCAGCCTGTGATGATGATCTTAAGAATTTATGATTTATAAACATTTTCAAAGCTGGCCATGTTGCATGCTATGAAATAGAAAGAGATCTTTAATTCAAACTAATCCAATTAATAATTTCATAACGAGTGTTAAGCTGTCACTTTGTTAACCTTGAGAGCTCCCAATAAAAACTTGTATCTTCCAGAAGACCATTCTAATCATTAAACCATTAATCAAGACACTAAGATATTTATTTGATTCAAGAAATTATAAAATGCCACTGGGTCCTTATGCTGTTTCTTTTTGGGCAATTTTGAAATGTCTCAACATTCTTTTAAAAACACTCAAGCATCAAACTCCAGTTCTAATATACTGAAAGACATAGAGGCATCCAGATAAATTCAGAGTTCCTTGAGCTGCAGCACTAACTATGGACATCTTAAATGCCATTTGTGTTAACGTGGCTACAATCGCACAGAAATGTGGCAGATTTGGAAGGTAAATTGTATTTTTATTGGAGAGCAGTGAATGCAGCCAGGTGGTAATGAAAGTAAATAAGAGGAAGAGAGTCAAAGAGTTCTTCTGCCTTCTTTCCATCAAACCAAACTGGTTCCCCAAGCCTAACGCAATTGCGCCAAAATGTTTCACAACAACAGAAATACCCAAATGCAACACTTCCTTGTTTTTGTGAGAAAACATGCTTAAGCTGTTGTTTTGAAAAATAAATGGATCTATTCTGACCTACTGTAACCTGGAGCCCCCTCTCTCTGTAACGACTTTATCCCTGTGAAAGCCAACAGCCCGTACTTTGACCCTTCTGGCTCCAGTTGTACCAAAAAGACCTTTAAAAGTTCTCTGCAGTGCAAACACAAAAAAGCAATGAGCACTATTACCAAAACTTGACAGAATCTAACTTAAAATCGATATCCATCACAACTTCATTGATGTAGCCAGACCAGCTGTTTGCACTGGTGCTATTTCACTGATTCAATACTTATAAAAGCTATAAAGCTCTCGACTAAAAATGACTCACAACTTCTGGTGAATGTTTGTCTTTGCTTCCTGATCCTCTTTTACTTTACTTTAAACTAAATTTCTTACCGGTTAGAACGCTAATGTTGGTCATACTTGCACAATTCATAGAAATATTCCCAAACAGGATAACCTGATAAATTATTACCATCTGTAATGGCCCATCTGTATTCCTGTTTTAGGGTTTATGTAAACATCTGTTTTCTTATAATAATAAATCAATTGGATTAATAGATTTTATATGAGTATATCAGCCGTTCATTTATCATCTTTACTCAACTTTGAGGGTCAGTGAGTCAGTCTGATTCAACTGGAAACTGAATTTACACATTAACTATAGGGTGCTCCAGCTCATCTGCACACATATTGTTGTCATTACATATAGTCTTCACAGCTAAGTTTTAAAAAAAAGCAGGAGTAAAAGCTCACAAATGATTTTGGCCATATAGTTGAACTGTGCACAAAGAGCCAGCAGAGCAGACATGTTTTCTCTTTAAAAGCGGGAAGTAAACTACACCTGCTCCTACATATTCAGATGTGTGAAACTTCCCTGATCAAAGTATTTATATCACCCTGACAAATATCACTGGCGTCGGTGTGTTGCCGCCACAGCAGGGACTGGTTTACAGTCGAGAGGGAGAAAAATGAACATAGATGAAAGGGAGAAGGCTGGAACTCATTTTCTCATGGATTTTATTGATAGAAATGGTCTCCTTCAGCTTTCGCTTCGCTTTCTTATTACATTCGTTTGAGTCAAAACCTGATTCACTGTAAATAAAGTCAAATCAGAGTAAGCAAGTGAGGTTTGCAATCAGAGCATCTCTAAAAATATCTAAATTTAGATGAATGTGGAGCCTTAGTGGGCTATGCTCCCCCTCTCTTCCCACCTCCCTCCCTGAGCTTTTTACTCTATTTTTAGCAAATCAGACATCTGCAGCTCTGCATATCAAACCCACAAGGCAGTTTGGAGGCACATTGGCTGCATCAATGACAGGTCAGGAAGCACTGTGAAAGACCTGGAAAGGCTCTCAGTAACTGCCGTTGGCCAATAGAAACGCATCCATCTAATGTATGTGTATGTCTCTGATTGGCATCAGATTCACACCATTTGAAAAAAAATCAGTTAGCAAAAATAATCCACAGTCATGCTTTGACCTCATACTTCCTGCCAGTTCCTACTAGAACATTTAATGCTTTCCTAATTCAAACCGTTATCCTTTGGTCCACCTGGCCAGCAAAAACAAGGGTCCATGCCCCTCACTGTCTAGCTCACCTTCCTACTTTCAGTGTGTAAGAAGATCCATCTGATTATGAAGCAGCGTGTACGAAACATGTTCTCATGCATGTGTGGGTCGTATTAGGAGTCTGGCCCAGGAGCCCAGGGGCTCCGTGTGAGTGTAAATCCACTGGACGTGAGGTCTAGTGCTCCTCGAATACCCTCTCAGACACAGAAAGAAAACACCAGACGGAGAAACTTGGGCCCTGTGGCTACGTTCAAGGCTTAGCTTCACCACCATCTCCGTCCGTCCTTGTTTAGCTGATATTTCAACAGCGATTAACTGTTAATGATGAATACATTAATAAAATTAATCACTTTAGCATATTAAAGCATATCGGTGGAATAAGAGGGGAAGGGGGGAAATTGTGTCAGTGTCTTCCAAAAAAAAGGGAACTGACTGATTAAACAAATCTCACTGACAGACATCAGAGAGCGAGCCGAGCTGGCCACCATCATACGGGCCTACAGCGTTCTCAGCCTCTCACATGAATCCCTGTGCTTCTTTTTAAACGTTCTTTGGGTACAGCAAATGGAGTACTGACTCGGCTTTTCTTTTCCATTACCTTGAGGCCCAAAGAGAAATTTTGGGGGGCTGCCAGACCTCAGACAGACAAATTGATTTGTTTTCGCAGCCCAAACAGGTCAACACAGCCCAAACAGCAAATTCTGTTCAGTCAGCAAGCTGGCGAGCCCCTTAAAATCTTAAAAGGTGGACCTGTGTCTCACACACAAGGGGCAAAGAGGATTTGAACAGTAATGTTCCCATTTTTGCCTAAGAGTGACAGTCAGTTTTCCGAATCCATCATTCCCTTCCCCAGGAAGTGGCCGTTTACTGTATGTGTCCATATAAGGCTCTCTACGTCACGGCTGGCGCAGCTGATGCTGGGATGACAGCACGCTAATCATCCGCGAGGAGGATTTACGCCAAATTGCAGCAAGCTTAGCTCGTTCATCAACACAGCCCAAATACGACGTTTCCATTCTACGCTGGTGCGCAACTAAAGGCGCTTCCCGCTCTCAGAAAAAGAAGTTGTACGAGCATTAAAAAAAAAAATGTCGCCGGAGCCTGTCCCCCCCATAGTAAATATCTCCCCCCCAATAACGACGGGACTGCGCAAAGGGATTCCCCTTGCAGTAATTCTAACGTTACAAGATGCGGCTAAAGGTCACGCGAGCGGCTATGGTGCTGTGCCTTTGGGTTGGAAAATGTTAGCTTAAACGAGAGTCGGAGATATTGGCGAGGGGCTAGCGTGCCGGTGACCGACTGGCCGTCAGAGCAGACCCAAACGGGGGGGCTCGGGATACGGACGCCCCCCCGTCGTAGTCTGGACTCCGTGCGTGGCTCTGTCGGTGCGGCAGTTTGGCTAATAACGCACAGCCCCCCCGGTTAGCCGGAGCTTTAGCTCGCTGGCCAGTCACCGCTCACGGCGAAGGTATCGCTACGAAGCTAGCTGTCCTGCTAGCTAGTCAGCCAGTAGCTCCAATGGGTGTCATCTTGTGCAAATAATATCCAAATATATTCAAAACCTCACCGTGAACGGAACGTCATTCACACTTCCGACCGAGTAGCAGCAGTCTCCGGGGTTCACGGCTCCCGTCAGCACCTGGTGCAGATGCATTTTCCTTCTCTTTTTAGCAGCAGATGGGGTTTTTGTTTAATTATTTATAACGAGTCCACCCTTTCGGTTTCTCCATCTAACAACCACAGGGAATTCCATCAGTAACACCGGCGTCGTCCTTGGTCCGGCAGCGACGTCTTCCTCCGCATACGTCGGGGACGAGGACCGACGGTTTTCGACCCGGTTAAACGGAATTTCATCGGGGTCCCGACGTGCATTTAAACACATAAAACTAGCCGTCGGTCGCCTCGCGCTGTCAACACCATCCTCACGATTAATCGTGAGAGCAGAGGCAGCAGGATCTCTGCAGCGAGCCTGACATGCGCGTTCACGACGCCGTCCGGGCACGACTGGAAAAGCACAGAGCTGTGGGATCCAGACCGGAAGTGCTCCAACATCCCGAGTTTCACTGCTGCCTTTTTTTGGGGGGTGTATCCCTGAGTAAAAAGATTAATTCTTACTTGGATATGTTTATATTTATGAGTAAAGATAAAAACGCGTTAGTACGGACTGTTTCCTCCCAACCGGATGTGAAGCTGTTCTAGCTCATCAATTCTATGTTTACATGGTTGCAATTTGTAGATTTGAGTTCATTGATCATAAATGTGGGGTTTGGATATATATTTTTTTTTACCCGTGGCCGAAAGTGAGCCATTGAATTAGATGAACGCCTCAAAAAATAGTAAAAACGGACAAAAACAGTAAATACTAATGGAAAAAATCTACATTAATATTGAACTAAAATATTGTGTGATTTCTCATTACCTTTCATACACACACAAAAGAAAAATCTGACAGTGATAAGAGAAAGTAATTTGATTTTAAAGTTTGTGTGGTTTTTAACTTTTATCGTGCACATGGCTCGGTGTCAAAGAAAAATCTGTCTCTCATGTGCATATCATGTCTGAGATGTTGAATAATATCCTGTTTCAAAACACTGAATTATTTATTTGATCAGAAAGTAAAGAGATAATGCACTTTTCATTTTATTTTTTTTTTATTTTTTAGGCGAACACTACACCCATTTTTTACTTTTTGGGGGTGTGCACTGTAATAGCACCAATTTTATAAGGCAGCTATTGACGATAGTACCACAGATGTAGTGTAAAAACAATAACACTACTAATGAATAATTATCATAACAGGAATACTAGAGGCTGAGTCATGGTCCGTAAAAGCTGAGCTGACACCAAGCCATGATGTGAAAAACCTGCCAGTCACTGATTGGTTGGAGAGAATTCTCATAGCAAAATCTGAGTAACAGCTTCTCTTTAACACTACAGAAAACTTGAGAAAAATTAACTGCAAAATTCTAGCCCTCTGTCCTTCTGGAAAAAAAGTTGTAAGCTAAATATACCCTCTCATCTGCCCCGCTCGTAAAGTCAGTAAGAATGAATAGCAAAGGTATGCATTCATGTGAATATATGTCCATAAGAACAATCATAAACTTTAAAAATGTTGTATGGATGGGTTTTTGTCTCTTGGTGTTTGCTGATCTCTTTAACTTGATATCAGGCACTTTTGCACTCAAAACTGGTTGACTGCTAACCCAATGCCACTTCCGTTTTACTACCATGTGTCATCGCTGATTCACACAGTAACTCGCTGATCAGCAGATCACACTGCTGTCTGGAGGGAAAAAAGCCTTACTGAAACATGCTGACATCAATAAAAATACACTATTGTACAGTTTTGGGGGGGTTGGACTTTGATTGTATTCCCACAGATCATATCCTCAAGTGAAGCCTGTTTAGCATTTTTCTGTTTTCAGAAGTCCCACAATGCAGCAAAATATAATGGGTCATTTCTTTGCCCGTGCTCCAGCTGCATGCTCAAACTACTCTTCGCATTATTTAAATAAGAAACAAACTAATGGAAATAGCTCATGAAAATACAGACTCTTTGCTTGTTATCAGCTGATAGCTTTACAGCTTCACTCTTTATCTGGCAGAAGCATGCCTCTGTGCAGAAAGTGCAATACGAAATCAGCTTGGAAAAACTCTGAAAAAGTACGAGCTGCATGCTACTCTGTGCACACCTGTCATGTGACTCTCAGATTCAATGAAACACAACATGACATGGACAGATGTTTGATAGAGAATACGGGGTGAGTGAGTCGGAGTCAGGTGAACTTCACAGTCTGTCTGTCATCCTCTGATCTGCACCCATCCATCTCACTGATGTACTTTAGTGGAGTGCACACACACAGGAATGATTCCGAAAAGGTACAGGCATGTTGATGTTACCCAGCTGTATCCTGACACATATAAATAGCTTTCTTTGCATCAATGTTTTTAATAGGTGAAAAGTCTGGTCCGGCACTGCTCACATTTGTCTTCGAGGCCATTCTGTTTTACCACCCCAGCATGTGATTTAACATAATTGGGATTGTATGCTGAAATAAAAATGAATGAAATAATAAAACATCTCCGTTTTATGATCTGAAACATTTTCTATGTCTGCAGTTGATATTATATTTGATCGGGATATTGACAGATTATTCAATTTTTATTCATGTATTGCACATTTTCCCAACAATTTTGAAGTCCTTGCTGGGCAAAAAACAAGGCAAAATATATTCCCTTGTTTTCTCATGCCAAAATAGCATACTTTTGATACTTTTAATCCAGCTGAAGGGCAAAAGGAGTCGACCAGCCACGTGGTCCACCGAGAATACTGTGAAGGATCCGAATGGGTGATGAGTAACCAACAAATATTGCAGCGGCCAGGGTATTCAAACCACAGTGACATCATTAGCTAGGACCTGCCTGCAGCCACCGACAGACAATAACCCAACAAAGAACCGAGAGGAGGGCCGGAGAGAACGTGACACATATGCACAAACACTCTCAGCAACAATGAAGGGGCAGAATCATCAGATAGTACATTTTGTTTTCATCAGGCCTTAAAGCTGTTCTTTGATCATATAGACTGGCCATAATGACTCATGAAAAACTGTTTTATCATGTTAAGGAAAGCATGTGCTGAATGAAAAGATGAAAAATGACAGACCCACTGTGGATCAATCAATATGTTATCACAGTGATATTATATTTTAGCATTTTCAATTACAGAATCATTAAAACATCCCAGTAATTATTTACATTGTACATCCAGGATTTGACAGGTCTCAAAGAGCCATCATAAATCAACAGTAAAATCCATGTTTGGCATTATGTAACGCAGGGAGTCATTCAGTAAATTGAAATCCTGTGAAATCCTGCCAGGAATGCGCCTCATTCATCTTCCTTGTCTTTAGGTGACTTTAAAGGGCAGACTGCAGAGGGAAAATGTGACTAAGCCTGTGAGTGCACCCCTGTAGGCTGGTGTTTTGAAATGCTTCTCCAACTGAAAATGTAATTTTACAAATCTCTTTATTTTTACATGGCGTGCGTTCCGGACCTCTTTCATCAGCAAAGAGCTGGGCAAGGGGACAATTTCATGTTTGTTCATGTAGTCAGTCCACACAGAATATTCTTAGAACGATAGAAGGACATCCACTTCAGATTATAAGAGAGCAATGAAGTAATCTCCAGAGTAGAAGACTATTTAGCCTGCCAAGAATGATGAGATCATAGCCAATGGAACAGAGCTAACAGATAAGTATATAAAGAGACCTGTATGGTGAAGTGTTTGGGGAGAAAGGTGTGCTAGGAAAGGAGGCTCAGAGAAAAGCAGGGTGGGCCGAATACTGTTGGTAATAGCTACTGTGTCTCTGGATATTGCAGAAAGGTTGGGTTTGTTGTCCCTCCAGTGCTACCAGGGGACAGAGAGTCTTGATCTACACAGAGCAGAATTAAATGCATTATAGATTTTCTCATTTCATGGATGGCTGCTTGCTGTGGGGAGTTTAAGTCTAGTCCTAATGTGCAAAACATCCCGCTCCCAGGGATAAAAATGTGACAGGGCTCCGCGAAACCCACAAGTGGATATAGTACTGTTCAAGGATAATGAATCTGAACTTTCCAGTATATTCAAGCTATAAAACCTTAAAGACATCAGTGAAACAACAGCCATCAGGAAGAGTTCAAATCCTTATCTGGCGTACTTAAACACAGAAGTGGCAAAACAATAGAAGAAGAGTATCTGATATCAAACCCCCCATACACACCACTCCAAAGTATTTTCAGTTCTGAGAATACCCAGGATTTCTCACCATTTGGTGCTTGTGAACAGGCAGACATGGCCAAAATCCAAAACTTATTCTCTGGTACTCAATTAAGTGAGTCTTTTAGAAAATCAAAGTTAAAATTTCATTATGTTTCTTAGTGGTATCAAGATGACCATGATTCTTTTTTTGTAGGAATAAACAGAAATCCAAATTTAAATTTTTTACTGGATTTTTCCTCTAAATCATTATGTTTTTAAGCATGTTTTTAAAGGTTGTGGAAAAAATTGTAACTAAATGGCAATATCACATCTGGACTGGTTAAACAATTATGCTAGTTATCATGAGCAGGTCGAAATATTTAAAGTGGCTTATCAGAAAACAGGTTAGCTCAATTTTCATCTTAATGGATATTATACCACCAGTTTACAGGTTAACTTTACCCTTTTATTCCAGATTTGCTTTAAAAGGGGAGCCCTGAACCCCAATGGGGTAAAAGCTCATGCTCAAATTTCAGACTTTGTGTTTTGGTGAATGCTATTCCCAATCTCTCCTCACCATTTATTTTCTAATAAAAGACAGAAAAGTTTCATTAGATATCATGTGATTTGAAAAAGCAAATAATTTGAAGGGCGATCAACTCCGCCGTCCAAATGAGAGGGAGAAAATATTGTAAAAAATAACAAGGCGTGATTTTCTTCCATCCACTGACCAAAGGTCTTAAAGAAGTGAGAGAAAATGAGGAATTCAGAAGCACGTTTTAAGCGGGCCTCTCAGTTCATTGCTCCAAATTAGTTATGAACAGATGTGTTGAACACACAGATCCTTCAGCACACAGTTTCTGAGTTTAATATGATTCTTCTGACAAGCTGGATGTAATCAGCTGTAACGGCTGGGTTTGATGACAACTGCCTGCATAATGGCTGCTCAAATTAATGTACAGTACATGATTAATTCAAGAGGCACCACATGCTTAATGAGGAACAACAAATATTTAAAACACACGACAACAATCATTAGAGACAAAAAGATAAATAATCCGCCATTTCCTGTTGGCAGTCTGAACTAATGAGTACAGGTCATTTATCATAGTGCCGGAGGACTTTTTAAAAACTAAAATTAAAGAGTAAGTTTTCATTAAGATGCATACAATGAGAACAACTTTTTTGCCAAATTAAGTAATTAGATGAGAGTCTTTTTAAAAAAAGAGTTTATAAATATTTTTCAGCTACAGAAA